AGGGAGGGAGAAAGAGAGAGAGAGAGAGAAACATCAATGTGCTGTTGCTGGGAATCACGGCCTGCAACCCAGGCATGTACCCTGGCTGGGAATCGAACCTGCGACACTTTGGTTCACAGCCCGAGCTCAATCCACTGAGCTACGCCAGCCAGGGCTTAAAGATTTTATTTATTTATTTTTAGAGAGGGAAGGGAGGGAGAAAGAGAGAGAGAAACATCAATGTGCGGTTGCTGGGGACCGTGGCCTGCAACCCAGGCATGTGCCCTGACTGGGAATCGAACCTGCGACACTTTGGTTTGCAGCCCGCGCTCAATCCACTGAGCTATGCCAGCCAGGGCTGAAAATGTTTTTAAAAAATCTTAAAAAATAAAAAATAAAAAAATCCAAATGTGTATACCTATGAGGCACAGTGACAGAGTGGGTCAGGAATCAAAAAGGTCTTACAGCCTCAAAACTCAGTTTCCACAACTGTCAAGGAGGATTCAAGATCCCCCTTGCCTGCCTTCCCAGGAGGATACGTGAGACAACGAGCAGGAAACTGCTCTGTAGAGGGCCGTAGGTAATGCAGTGCTACCAGGCCCTCATTTTCCACCTCAGTAATATGTTCTAAACCTCCTGATTCTCTACTTCTGCTAAAACTTACCTGCCTTTTCCTAAATGTGGTCTATGCTCCTCAAAAAAGTAATACGCCTGCACAGTTGCGAAGGCCTGTCCGGACAGAAGTCAATAAAAACAGCAGACCTCTTACTCCTCCTGCCCTGCCTGCTCCCTCCAATGACAACCATTTTCATCTTTTTTTTTTAGCTGTTTTTTATTTATATTTCTGAGCAAAATAATTAAAATGCTATTTTCCATTTTTTTTATTGCAGTTTCCAGGATGTGGGATGATACTGCAGCTCTGCTGCAATCCCCAAGCTCATCCATCCCCCTCATCATGACTCTCAACATATTTCTGCCACAATTTTAAACCAGTATTATTTATAACTCAATCACACTATATAATTAGATTTCCTTTTTTTAACATTCTATTTTTCTGAAGTTACTGCCTAAATTCTTCTTTCCTTCAGTATTCTATGTATCTATCACCAATTCTTCCCCGACAAACCTGAAAGAGTTGTAAATCCCTCCCAATGATATTTTCTTAAAGATACCACTCCTACTGCCCTCCTTCCATCTGCTCCCATTGGGACCAGTTGCTTTCCAGGTCTGCTGCACATCTAACTTGCTAGGGCTTTCCTTCCTACCACTGTGGGAACGCCTTCACCTCTCACTATACTGGAGTCCCTGTTTCCTGGGTTCTACATCTTCCTCTTTCTTGATTTCAGCTCTCATTCTGGGGAAGCCCATCTTCAGTCACTTTCTGAGAAAGTATGTTAAGTAAGGAGGGTAAATATTTCAGACCCTGCATATTTCAAAATGAACTTATTTAACTCTCACACTTAAATGACAAGTATGGGTGATCACTTTGCAAAATACTGTCAAAATCACTTTGCAATTTATTCCTTATTACCTGCTTTATTGTGGTGGAAAGTCTAATGCTATTCAGATCCCTCTAACTTAGTTTGTTTCCACTCTCCCATCCCTACTACAGACCAAGAAGTGCTTAGGATTTTTCTTTGTTTCCAGTGTTATGAAATTTTATAATGATGTACTGTCAAAGTCTTATTACATTAAGCTGGTCCTTTTTATTGTGAAAACTCATATCCCACAGTTTTGGAAAATCTTCTACTGATATTTGAGAATTTCCTTCTTTCTTGTTCTCTATTTTGTTTCTAAAAATTATGCTAGTTAGATAGCGAGTCTCCTTGACTGAGCCTCTAACTGGCCTTGTTTTTAGTTTGCTTGAATCTGTTGTTTCACTATCTGGCCTACTTCAGTTTTATCTTCCAGCTTTTCTGAGTTTTAAAAGGTCTGATCATACTTTAAATCTCAGGAGCTCTATCTTATTATCTTTTTGTTTGTTTTGTTTGTTTTATGGCATTCTATTTTCTTTTAACGAATACAAAAATCGCTGAAAACGTTACAGTAGAAATTTTTTTGAAGTTTTCTTCTGTGACTGACACTGTTTCTGCTTCCTCTGATTTCTTTTGTTCTGGGCTCTGTATTTTACAAGATGATTTTTCTTAAAGACTAGTGATCTCTGGCTGACTGTTAATATTGAAAGTGAAGGAGTAAAAACTAATTAGTATAAAAATAACAGTAACCTAGATTTTCTGATTCTCAGTTCAAAGTTCATTTAGGCATATTATGATGTCTTTTGTCTCCAAATTTTGAAAAAATAAAAAAGCCAAATGATTTATTTACAATCATAAAAAAATGTTTGTATTCCCAGGGTTGAAAAATATATTAATAATATATCCATTCAATATATAATATTTAGCTTTTCTTCAACCTGAAATAGATAAATTATGCAAAAATCAACATATAGACTGATCAATGAAGACTTTTAACAAATCTCATAGTGCACAGCTCTCCCATCCTTAAACTCCCAAAACTCTGCTCATGACAGTAAGTTTTGGTTTGCCAATAATTTATTTAACAAATCTTTTATGATACAAAACCACATAGTCAGTGAAATTAAAACATTTCGTACAAAACCACTGTGCAGATTTTTTTAAATCCTCGCCCGAGGATATATTCACCGATTTTAGAGAGAGAGGAAGAAGGAAAGAGAGAGAAACAACGACCAGCTGCCCCGGTACATGCCCGGACTGAGGATTAAACCCACAACCGAGGTCTGTGCCCTGACCGGCGATGGACCCAGCACCTTTTTGGTGCTTGGAACGACGCTTCAACCAAATGAGCCAGCTGGCCAGGGTCACTGTGCAGATTTTTAAATTAAACCTGAAAAGCTTAGAATGCTCTCAGAAACCACCTTATTATATGAGAACCTGCAACCTTGTTGCTTTATTTTCAAGTTCAAAGAGGTGGGCAATGCATTCATAGCATAAAAATTCAAGTTTTCCCAACCCTTAAAACACTGAAACCATTATTCAAGTAAAAAGGAAAAGTCATTATAAAAACGAATTTATCCAGCAATAAAACCTAAAGAAAACCCCTTCCAAATGGAATTTAGGGTGATTCAACAGATTCATGAAAAATTCAAACATCCATTCTGGTTTAAGGTAGTTAGTTCTTCATTAAAATGGAGCACTTGTCTTTTTGTAACTGCTTTTCTGTTCTAACAAGAAAAAAACCACACCTTTGCTAAAATAAATCACTGTATAAAAACACACAACTAATTTACAAATATAACAATTTGTATGATCTTATTTTAAGGTGTACTGTTCAACATAAATTTCAACATAATCAACAAAAGCTTATGCTTCCTCTGATACCAGTCATATACCATATAAAGTTAAATGTACTGTCTTGCCAAAGCCCAAGGTAACTGAGTCTAAAAATATACTTTTTTCTCATTCTGATCTAGTCAGATTGGTATTTAACCCAAACGTCATCAAATGTTGCATTAAGTATGCCAGGACGAAAAGATTACTTAAATACAAGCTCTCCAAATGTGTACCACATAGAAACTGCCCCTAGCTACAGCAGATTGTAGGATTGCATCCAAGCATGTCCCCTTCCCCCCGACATACACAAATACACACATGAAAATAAAAATCAAAAAGCAATATAGACAATGAATGTGAGAACAGAGCTGATACTTGGAAGAAACAAACCTTAGCGTTTATATAGTCCAATGAAGACAAGATAAACTGGAAAAACATCTCATATTAAGCAAGTATCAGTTGGCAAGAGGGTTGGGAGCTTCATTTTTCTTTAAATTATTCTATCCACTTAGCTTCTACTTTAATTTTAGACTGAGACACTGACAGAATCTCTAATGTAAAAAGAAGAAAAAACAACAACAAAAAAACCTCTCTAACAAGACCTAAATTTGGCATTAGGACAAAAATGTAAAAACCTATTAACAAAAACTATTATTAAAAGAGTTGCCTTTCTGATCACTAAAAGACCAGTTTGATTATCCATTTCCAGGACGTCAAACAGAAATTTTCTGTTTTCCATCATCACAAGATGGAACCCAACTGGAGGAAAAGATTAAAAGGGCTCTCTCAGCAACCCCCAAAAGTAAAATCTACTGATTTAATTTCAATTTTCTATAAAAACTAAGTCTTTAAAATTTCCATAGTTGCTTCACTAAAAATTCTCAAACAAGCTGTGCAAATCTGAACACGTTGCATTCTCCAACATACATGAAAAAAAGTTTTCTTGTGGAATTATACTACTTCAATAAAGAGGAAATGAGGACACATGGACAATAACAAGGTGGGTGGAAATGGGAGGGAGAGGTGGGGGGGTGGGCTGGGATGGGGGTAAAAGGCAGAAAACTGTACTTGAACAATTAAAATAAAAAGAAAAAAGAGGAAATGTATGTAACTGTTTTTTTAGAATCTAACAGAAAAGGTTTTCCACTTGAAATGGCAATTTAAAGACACTGCTAACTTAACTTGAAATTTCAATATGGATTCTAAATTTTGAAACAACATAGAATCAAATTTTCTAAAACTAAATATAAAGAGCAAGCAAAGTTTGGGGAAAAACTCAGAATCTTAAGTTTAAATATCACACACTACTTAATCACTTAAAATAAAAATTTTTAAATAGAACACATCTGAGTTTAAAATGAACTGACATCTAAAACCTAACATAATAAAGCTGCCCTTATTTTAAAAGGGGTACAAACTTTTCCTGTATCATGATGGAAAACCAAAGCCTATCTGCCTATTTTATAAATATCCATGTCCTCCTTGGATTAAAAAATCTACTTTCACCCACGTCCCTTGGGTTTCTTCCACCTTCTATCTCCCTGAACATCACTGTCCCATTCCGATTACAACTTTTAGCCTAAGGCAAAGATCATGCAAGTCCCCTGAAGACTTCAAAACATTAAAAGCAATAAAATAAGTAGAAGAAATACTCTTGTGCATGGAACTGCTGGGAAACCCTTCTTTCCTTTTAGTAAAATAAGTCCCTTGCTCACTTTAAGAACAAAACATCACTGCCACATATAAACACACAGCATTCTCAATTAATAATTACAGAGAATAAAAAATTCTTATAGATTTTGCTAGTACTTTGGCTTAAAAAGAAAAAGACTATTAAGGAAAGAACTGTATCCTAAAAGAGAATGACAATAAGAGACATAGATAAATAAGAATTTCTCTTATCAAAATGTGGATTCTTTAACACTAACTAAAAGAATGCTTTGAAAGAGAACTACTTGCTACTTCATTAGTTGATTCCATTTAACCACAAAGAGAATATCTCAACTAATCCCCTTCTGTTTTAAAAATGAACTAGTTAAATATACATTTTACTGTAAAAGAGAAATCTAATTCAATTCAAATATTCTCAATACATACACACACAAAAGTATGCGCAGAATTACTGCAACAGAATCACTTCCTACGCACACATCTCTTTAGATCTCCATAAAGCATGGCACAAAACAGCTCAGATTTCTGTAAATTGTCTAGTATTTGACTATGCTTTTGCATCATGGTTCATTGCAAAATTCTAAAATTAATATTTAAGTGTCCTCATTATTCACTGTATTGAGAATTCTCTCAAGAGAATAAGACATAAAACATTTGAATTTCTAAATGACACTGTTCAAACTTGCAGTGTTATACTTTGACATATATAAACAAAATGTTAAAACCCTGGTAATTCATCACTGCATTTTAATATCCCCTGTTAAAAGAAATCAATTGCATATGAAGCCCAAACAACTGGAAAGCACCCAGAAGAGCAACTAGAAAGCGATGACTTTTTAAAATGCTGACGCTTTTCACACCCAGGTTTGGTGGTGCCAACTGGAGAGGTGTTAGATATGACTTTATTCATTTTAAATCTGAGAAGTGTAGTCATTTCCATGACATTACAAAAATTGGAACCAAGAGCAATTTATTTTCACGGTCCTGATTCTTCTGATATAAAAGTACTTTTTAAGAAAATCATTTCTGCAAACTTCGAAGGTGTTTTGGATTGATCATTTGTTTCCTATTGCTTAGAGTCAAATTATCTTGTCCCAGATTTTCTAGTGAGCCAGGAATACAAAGAGAGATAAAAGAAACACATGCACACACAGTGACCCAGTATATGAACTACTTCAGACATGGCATCCATTAAGAGGGCCTTTGCTCCTTACTGTGTAAGGGTCCTTAGCTACGACCTGACTTGCACAAGAAGTACACATGGCCCCTGAGAGGCGCTTTAGTCCCCTTTGAAAGACACTGTTGGAGAGACTATAAATGACACAGTTGCAGAAACTGTTACTAATAGCAAGCCAGGTGGTCAAGAAGGATGCGAAGCGGTTGCTGCGGCCAGTGGAGCTCTCCAACAAGAAGTAGATGATGTACGGCAACCAGAGGATGTAAAACACACTAGTAATCCGAAAGAGGACCATGGCATAGCGCTTGTCAGGACAGGCCTGCACCTCCCCAGGCTCCCCACTTTGGCTGCTGAACCGAGCTTGTCTTTCGCTGATTTCCTTTGTGTGGTGTTGGCAGATGCGAAAGATGTTGAAATAGGTGAAGCACACAATGAGGGCTGCCGGGGCATATAACATCATCACGATGAACAGGGTGAAGTAGGGGTTCGTGTGCCAGGACTCTGCACACCACCGAAACACATCTCCATGATACCCAGGTTTGCCCCAGTGGAAAAAGGAAGGCAGAAAGACCAGTGTGGAATATAGCCAAATGAGGAAAATACACAGGCGTAGTCTCCAGGGTGTAACCAGGGTGTTATAGGTTAAAGGTTTAGTGATGGCAATATATCTATCAACACTGATACAGGCCAGAGAGGTCATGGAGACACTCTTCAGAACTGATACTATAAAACCAAACACCTGGCAAGTCAAGGACTCCTCTATTGGAAGTGGGTAGTGGAGGAGTGATAAAGAAGGAACCAGGCAGCTGACCCCAACCAAGAGGTCAGCATATGCCATAGTCTGGATAAAATAACTTGTAGTGTGGTGATTCAATAAAGGTGCACAGTGAAATACAAAAATCACAATGATGTTGCCAGAAATTATCAATACAGTTAGAAACACAATAATCAACACTTCCAAAAGGCAAAAATTGACAGTTTCCAAATAGCCAAACGCCAAGAGGCAAAAAGCGTGGCTGCTCTGATTACCATCCAAGGTGGAGTTCATCTTGAGCTCAGGAGTGATCTCTCACTTCATGCTGCCCCGTGGCCGTTGCCCACAGTTCAAAGGAGCAGCTGCTGTCATTGCGGTCAGCTTTGTGTGTTTGTAATAATGCCCAAGGAGCCTCAGTCCCCAGGCTCGCGATGCTGCTGCTCTGATGCATTGCCTGCAGTGCAATTCCCCTTTAAGTCCTTGGAATAGGGAGAGCCAGCAGCAGTTGTCTGGCCAGTCCCAGATGCGGCCACAGTACCACGTTTACCGTGTACATAGTGCCAAGGGAGTAAGGCAAAGTCTGGGTACAATGTCTTCAGGCCAATGAGGGTAGGGGGTAGGGGCAGAAGACAAGGGAAGAAAATTAGCTTCAGCAGGAGTTGTAATGAGTCTCCTCTGAACAGCTGATAGAAGAAAAGGAGAGAGCATTTTATATTTTGCATCCCAATACAAAAATCAAAGATTCTGGCTAGCTCAGGCTGGTATCACCCCTCCCACCCCACCCCACCCCGAACTACCCAGCACCCCACGTAACTAATGGGTCCTTACTCTCCAGAGGAGGCGCAGCAACAGCAAGCTTTCATGATCAACATAAAACAAAATCAATTGTAGTCAGATCAATCTACCCCCATTTTCCTTTCACGGGAGCCTTTTGGGGGAGAAAAGGAATCTGCTTATTGCATTTCTAAAAACATTTTACCATAATTACCATGAATAAAATTAACTAAAATAACTTATTTTCTTGATTCCCATGTAATATTTTGCCTCTTTGAAAACATCTCAACAGAATTTATCTGTCTAACTCAATTTCAGAGTGTTACCTGTAATTCTGCATGCTGCAATCCAAACAAAAGCCACAAAACATCCTTAACAGAAAGCCTCGCAAAGCAGGAATGTGCCTCAGCCGGGTTTACTGCAGAACTGAGACACAGAGGGAGGGGATAAAGGAGTAGGAGGGGAAATCGGGAGAGAGGGGGCTTGGGAAAGAGAAGCAGCGGGGGGAGGGGAAAGAAAATGCCTATGCAGGCACACGCTCTGGCATCTTCAGCAGCTCATTAGGATTCATCACCAGATTTCCAGACTGCATAGTGGGGGACTAAATGAACACGCCCGCAGTGCAGGGTTTCAAAGCTGTTTCCTCGTCTGTCTGGAATCCCCCTTTTGGTAGATGAACAGAAAGAACTCAAACTGCTAGTAAGGAAAAGAGGTAGTAACTGGGACATTGTGCCAGCCAGGAATTAGACTGAAACACACTGCCAGAGGGGTAGGTAATGCTGAGAGGAAACTCCTATTTTCTTGTAGCATTTTCCCAGGGAACAAAGAGCAATGTTAAAGCATGAAAGCGTGTTGTGCATTAACAGTGCATGGCGACTGAGGAATGGTCATTCAGCAGCATGTGAAGTTCTGGCCAGAAAGCTAAAATTGCAGCATTAATTTTTCTCTCACAATTCACTGGATATTGGCCAATATTAAGAAGGATGGCCACAATAGCAAGCAAACTTAAATATCAGTTTTTCAAGAAAAAACAAAGAATCTTACCCATTCTTAGTACTGCAGAAATAGTACACACACAGAAAAGAAATTACATTTTTCCTGCATTTAACACTATCCTATGGTTTTGAGATGCCACGTTTTGCTCTAGTTCCCTGAGACACAGTACATAAATATATAAGTACATAAATGTATAATAAAAGATGGAAAAGTAACGGTACTGTTTCTACCAGGCTTGAAAATAACAGGAAGTTGCATGGTACAAATTAGCCTTTGTATCTCAGAATACACAATTTTGTTTGTGTCTACTTAAAACAATGCAAAGTGGGATTTCATTGTGGCTCTTCTGATAATGTCACAAATGATAATTTTCAGCTAATTAGAAAATGTATATATTTTTTATCTTTTCCCCCAGGTGCCTTTGGATTCTCAATTCACCCTTCTAAATAAAGTTCCAAAGATTCAACATCGCAAAAGAAAATAAACATATGTTGGTTATTTGTAAGCATTCCAGAAGGTTGCACACCTGGGTGGAAAATGTTATGTGACCCAAGTCGCATTTTTTGTTTCACACACATGCTTTCTCACTGCAGGCAAATGACCATCCATAACCAGAACTCAATAAATTACATTTTAAGATCTGAAGCATAACACTTATTGTACAAAGGCAAGAAACTCAAACACCTACTGAGAAGGAGCCCGGCAGCCACATTCGACAGGTCCCACAGAGGATACAGCAACGTGTGGCGCAGTGCCAGCAGAGGCACGGAACTGAATTCTCACCTGGTTCCAGCCCTAGCTCTCCTGCCACTCCAGCCTCTCTCAGACTCAGTTTTGTCATCTGTGGAAAGCGTCTCACACTCCCTATTTCACAGGGTTGTTGAGAAATAAAGGAGACTTACCAATACTTATCGCAGAGGGCATATACAGCTTTACTTTCTTCTCACACAGTTTCAACAGCCTGTGTTTTCCTACCAATCCCGCGGCACTGCTTGAGGCTGGGCCCTGAATCCTAAGTGCCCTCTCTCACTATGACCACCCAGTTCTAAGACACGCAGCAGTTATTTGGATACTTTGCTGAGGCTAGCTCAACGGGGATACCTAGAAAGAAGATGATATGGCATCAATTATTCCTTCTGCACAAATAATTTCTCTGCCTGTGTCTCCAGCCATGAATTCACTTCTGAGGTCCCTTCTGCATCTACAATTTGACTGCTAACACACATCTGCCACCCGGATGTCCTGTAGAGACTTCAACCACAGCGCCCAAATACTGAATACAGTTTTCCCACCAAATAAGCCTCTCTTGTTTTTTCCCAACATTTCCCCAGGCATTCAAGAATGAAACTTAGGAATCATCTCAGCCACTCTCTCCCTCAATGTACTGTTCTTAGGCACCATGCCCTGGAAACCTATTTCTACACCAGCTCTCAAATTCACTTCCACTTCAGTATTTAATACTTTACTTTTGTCCATCATTAAACACAGTCTAGACTTCTAGCCTTATTCCTCTTCCTAATATATTGTTTCTGATACATCTATATCTAGTACCACATACTTGGTTTCGGTACTCTGCTGTTCAAGACGAATCAATGGCTCCCCACAGCCTTTCCAGTCGGCACCGCTGTGCCACATCCCCCAATCACCTTGCCCTTCAGCCAAACCATCTGCCGTAGACTTCATGTTTAAACCCCCATCTTTGAGTGCTTAATAAATAGTAAATGAAAATAAGGAATGATTTCTGACAGTTACAGTTCAATAAACAGGAGAAGCATTTGTCAGAGTAAGGAGCCCAGGCTTTTCCAACTCCTTGTGAATCTGGGCATGTAATTATTCTCTCTACACCCAAGGTTACTCGTGTTTGAAACTACATAGTTATGCTGATAAAAATATATCACATTGGCTGATAACTTAAAATGTAATAAAATGTAATGGAACTATAAGCTGGTATATTATTGTCATTGTACAATAACAAATCTTCTAACTTTGTTTTTATTTGAGTAAAACTGCTTTTGGAACTGTAATCAAAATAGTCACATAGAAAACTTTTTTTAAAAAGCCCGATAGCCACACTTCATAAAATCAGTCAGGAGTTGAATGTTTTGTTTTAAAGAAAAACATTTTCTTCAGAAGAGACAACTTTTTAATAACATGGGGGCAATAAATCTATATCCTCACAAAAATCTATACATTCATTTCCTTTTTAAAATAATGCAGTCTCATAATATATTTGATTTTTATAAAAGAGAGAACAACTATTTCTGCATAGTTGCCTGAAAAGCAATACATTAAAAATCAGCTCTAGACCTGGCTGGTATAGCTCAGTGGATTGAGAGCCAGCCTGCAAACCAAAGGGTTGCTAGATCGATTCCCAGTCAGGGCACATGCCTGGGTTGCAGGCCAGGCCCTCAACAGGGAGTACATGAGGGGCAACCACACGTTGGTGTTTCTCTCCCTCTCTTTCTCCTTCCTTTCCCTTCAAATAAATAAATAAATAAATAAATAACTTTTAAAAAAATCAGCTGTAGCCCAGGCCAGTGTAGCTCAGTTGGTTGTAGCACTGTCTCATGAACTGAAAGGTGCAGGTTCAATTCCCAGTCAGTGCACATGCCTAAACTGCAGGTTCAGTCCTTCTGGTTGGGGTGCACATGAGAGGCTACCAATCAATGTTTCTCCCTCTTTTCCCCCCTCTCTAAAAGCAATAAGCATGTCCTCAGGTAAGGATAAAAAAAATAAATAAAATTCAACTTATTTTTCACTGCATGGTTGGATTACAAGTGATATTTTACTTTCTTCTTTATGGTTTTATTCACTTTATGAATCTCCCAATTTCTATGTATTATTTAATCAGTTTTTTAAAAACCAGCCAAAATAGTATATAACATGTCCCTCTGGGTAAAGCTAACAAGGACACTTGGCAGCAGGATGTCCTCTCCGAGCCTCCCTGAATGGGCGATGGCAGATGAAGTCACCTGCTCCACGGGGCGCAGTTCTACTTGTCCTCATGCCATCTGAGCAACGCTCCTTCCAAGAGTCACTGGTACGCCATTCAACTCGAAATGAACCCTCCGAGCCCCAGTTAAAAGTTCTTGCAGAATGAGAATATAACTGGGTGAAACACATGAGGCTGCCAAGATTTAACTGTTTCATTTCTAGTTAAGTATTTTCCTGATCTACAAAAATGGCAACTTTTACATATACGATTCTACCTAATACTAAAAAAATTAAAATAACAAAATGACAGAACTAAGAAGGAAATAAGGCAGGAAGAGAAACATGAAACAAAAAAGGAATACTTTTCACATTATATATATATATATATATATATATCCTTCTCCCAACTTAGTGGCTTAACTATTAGACATGAGAAAGGGTCAATCTCATTTCTTCAAATTCATCAGATTCACTGCTGGGCATTGTCACTTATTATTTGGTAAAAGTGGGCTTAAAGTTTATTTAATTCACGTATTATTTTGGTTCAGTGGATGGGGGTGTATTTATAGAAACATCACAAAACCAATTTGAGGTCCTTTGATTCATCTTCTACTCCTCCCTCTTCATCTCCCACATTCATGCAGTCATCAAGAACCAAGGATTCCACCACCTCTGGAATTTCTCTGAAAGAGTCTCTTTCTCTATCCCTTCTGCCACTACTCCACTGCAAGTCACAATCATTTCTTGCCTAAATTCCTAGCAGGTTTTGCCGCAATTAATCATACTCCACTCCAACTAGAGTAGCCAGAATGATCTTTCTAAAACTAAAAGTGGTAATACAAATAACAACAGTAACTAAGCAGTAATTCATATTTACAATGGTCGTTATCTATGTTAATTTTAACTCTACAAATAAGATACCATTATCCCATTTTACAGATAAGGAAACAAAAGTCTAATGTTAAATCACCCAATGCCAATGGCTTGAATGCAGTAAGTAGAACTAGGATTTGAATCAAGAGAATCTTTTTTTTTTTCAAATTTCAAAATTTATTTTTTATTGTTCTTCAATTACAGTTGTCCCATTTCCCCCCATTATTCTCCCCTGCCCTATCTACCCACCACCTCTCATATTCAATCCTCCACCCCCCCCCCCACTGTCTCTGTCCATGGGTCCTTTATACATGTTCCTTGACTTGACCACGCCCCCCTCCCCATTCAGGGTACATGCCTGGGTTGCAGGCAACCGATCAAGGTATCTCCTTCGCATGGATGTTCCTCTCCCTCTCTTTATCCTTACCTTCCCCTCTCTCTAAAAATAAAAATAAAAATCTTTAGCCCTGGCTGGTGTGGCTCTGTGGATTGAGTGCCAGCCTACAAACCAAAGGGACACTGGTTTGATTCCCAGTCAGGGCACATGCCTGAGTTGCAGGCCAGGTTTCCAGTAGGGGGTGTGCAAGAGGCAAC